ATGGATTGTTTAAGTTTAGAGTTTGGAGTTAGAGATATTAATATTTGTTTACTTGTATTTGAATGTTAGCCTAGGTTTGGTTTGGGAAGTCCGGGGGGTGGGGGGATGGGATAAATCATTGTGTAATACCTGTGATGTATTTCTTTTTTCTTTTATGATAAAAACAATAAAATTTTATATTGAAAAAAAAAAAAAAAGATAATGATGATGATGAAGAAGAATTATGATGAATTCCTGGGGAAGTCATCATAATTGCTGTAGCCACAAATTGGATCCTTGCAAAGGACATTAAATATAGGCACTTCAAAGGGACAAGGTTGGAAATACCTGGTGAGTGACTCCCTTCAAACCTTAATATAGCAAAATGAAGATTCAAGACATGTACATGATGGCATTATCATGAATTTTTTCTGCTAGTGTCAGACGTAAGGAAGTAATTTTCTAGGTGTCATGTTGACCACTTCTCATTTTGTTAATAGATCCCAATGCTGTGATCTATTTTTTTATTTTAAAAGGTCATTTTTTTCTTACATGTCATTTCAAATAAATTAATTGGATATTAAACAACTTTACAGAGATCTACTGTTTATCTGCAGATAAATTTCAATATTTCATATAATGCTGTGAGAAATATATTGAAATCTTTGAGTTTCAGATATAACTTTACCGATGAATATCTTACATTAAGAGATAATTTTACTTTTAAAATAGTGGATGAATTTTGTTTTGAAGTAAAGTGGATCCATCATATTTGTTACTTTAGAACAACCTAGATGATCATTCTACATTTGAACTGGTGGGAGGTTCCAACAAAGATGATTTTTAATAAATTCAATCACTTTTGATAGGAATTATTTTGTATATGAGGTTAGTTTCCAGATCCTTTTTTTAAAAAATACCTTTTTTTCTTACACCTCCTCCTTGGTTTTTTGTACATTTATTGTTTGTTTTTCATTCCAATTAGTTATAATCAGTCCGTATAGAACACTGAACTATTTTCATTTATTCTTTGTTTACATAACATTGAATAATATTTTACCATATTTTATTGCATTTATTTTGGTATTATGCATCACATATATATTTCCTATCTTAATATTTAATATTAAACATAATGTGATTATTTGTATGTTTTATTTATGTAAGGATTTTAGATTCCTAATTTATAAATTTAATATTTATATTAGACCTGTCTAATATAACCTGTATGGGAAGATTCATAATCATAATTTAAAAATATTATTTTATGCTGGTTTTGGATCAAATAAACTAAATCTCATTTGACAAAATAAGGAAAATAACTACCCTCAAAGTAGAAAAGTTGGGACAGGATTTTTAAACCAAAAGAATTTTGTAATCCCTGTTATTGCTGAAATAATCCAGAAAAGCCAGATAATTAATATAAAATTAAGCCATCAACCAACAGTATAGAGAACTAAAATGAAATTTATAATATAATACAGCAGAAAGGTACTAAAGACTGTGAAAAGCAGTGTTATAACTGTATTGATAACTCATATTGAATATTCTAGAAATCAAAACTAGCATGACAGTTGGTAAATATGCATGAATGTGTAAATGTTTGCATGGCTCAGATGGCTTTTAGCTCAGATAGTGAACAATAACATTTGTAAACTTGCATATCTTTGTATGTTTCTAAATTTGGGGATCAAAATAAACAGGCAATGTTTTTTCTATATTACTCAATATGGCAGTATAACTTCAGTAGTGAATGTTTTTTGAACTATTATATTATGCCAAATATTTGAATTAGTAATTATAGACTTGCCTGTTTTGGATGAGTTCACAATTTCCTGCCTGCCATCCTCTCAATTTTGCCTCATTTCATTTGTTTAACTTTTTAAAAAGTGAATTGATCTTTCTGCAATTTCCTGCTAAATATTGTAAGTAGTGTGATGAGGGTGTTGAAAGAAAAATATTTATCAGGGTCCAGTCTAAGCCAGGAATAAACAAAATGGAGACTGCTTTAGAAAGAAGGTTGTAGTTTATTGAAGAACAGAATTACAAGACATGTGGCTCTGGAACAGCTGACCACATGTTGCTGGAAGTGGTGGGTTTTATACCTTCTTTGGCTTTTGTGTTTGGAGTTGTTCTTCCTGTTCCTGTGGCATGAACTTTGACCTGAGGTTCAGTGTGCTCTTTTTGTATTCTGATGGTGGTGGGTTAATCCTATTATGTCCTAAAGGTCATATCCTGCTTCCCTGGGGCTGTGGCTGATGGCTATATCCTGTGTTGGATGGGTGAGGGATTGCTGGTTCTAATTCTATCACTCTGCTATCAAATCTCGCTCCAAGGGATTTCGAAAGGTCCTATCTTGAATGGGTTTCTGCAGGCAGTATTTGTTCATGAACGGGGCCTCAGTCTTTCTGAATGGGATTATCAAATCTGCATTTCTACAGAGCTGGCCTCTGCCTAGGTCTATTAAGAAAACTGGGCCTGCTTTTCTGCCTTTAAGATCCTTTGGGGAAATATAATATTCTGCTTTTTTAAAATTCCCCAAAATATTTCCTTCTCGGGGAGGGGGTGCTATCTTCCTACAATAACAAGGGCTACATCAAATAATATTTTAGATTCAAAGGTGAGAGTACGTAGCCAATCTTGGTTTAGCTCAGAAGTTGAGACGTTGAAAAATATCCTGGGAGAAGGCAAAGTCAAACTTATGTAACAGTGGTAACCAGGAACTGAATTTGATTTGAGGCCATCTTTATCTTCTGTTTTTTTTTTTAAATTGTCTTGTTAGGCATTCTGAGATTTCTTTATAGACCAGAAATGAAGTTTAAACCTGGGAAATTGTCTATGTATGGTAGGAGACTGTGAAGTCCTTTTTGTCTGCTAAATTGTTTCCTGCTTTATAGTTCCGAGTATTGTCATTCTAAATAAATAGCAATTCATCAACATGATGCTTGGTAACCTCTTATTTTTCTCCTTTTGTTTTGTATCTTCTGCTTGTTGTTGCCCTGGATATTTTTGGAACACTTTTTTTCCCCTTTGGGGACTAATCAGAAATAGATATGTGCATTTTCATGTATTCTGTATTCAGCAGTGTAACAAGAAACTCTCAGCTTTCCTGAGATGGATTCTGAAATCAGCTGGAGTCATTGAAAATCGCCCTTGGCCACGAATCATGATTACATTGATAACAACAGCTGTAATATTAACTATGGCTGTGTTCAACATGGTAGGTTTAATAAGATTTTCTTCTACTTAATTGTATTGATTTGTTTATTCGGTTTGGGCATGTTACTTTCAGTGATGAGAGAAAAGAAATATGTAACCTGCATGGATTAAATTCTGTTTTTTATTGCTTTCAATGCATTAAGATAATTTGTATTTTTTATCAGAACAAGGTGTCAGACAGAAAGCTTCTGATAGGTTGAAAAAATTATACAACTTTATAGAAGCTTTTTTCCCCCTTCATGAAGAAAACATTGGTCTTTTAAAAAAGAGCAACATGTTTAACGTGATCAAAACTCCTATTTCCTTTTATATATTCATATGTTGTTGTTATTTTGTTCAGATTCTGTATATTTGACTGAAACCCTGTGAGATTTCTTATTTTTCTTTTCTTTTTTTTTAGTTTTTCTTGAATGGTGATGGTATTGTTGAATCTCTCCCCATTCTTAATTCATCAAATATAAGTTCTCCTGATGCAAGAGATCAGACAGCCTGGTATATTCAAAGCAACCATTTTTTCTTACCAGTAAGTTTGTATCTTATTTGCATGATCCGTAGCAGATAAAAATAGTGCCTATAAAATGATTAAACCCTCTGTAGAAAGGCTATTCCATGCAAATTATTTATTTTTTAATTACCCTGCTGGTTTTCTCCAAGGAAAACAAAAGTTACACTGAAGCTAAAGGTTACACTGAAAGTGTCAATGTACTATCTGGAAAAGTAGTATCTCATTAGGCCTTACAGACTAATTTGTTTCTTGTTTACTTTGAAGAAATGCTTGGCTGGGTTCAATGGGACTTAGGCAGGACTGCAATTCAGTAGTCCTTGTTTAGTTACCACAATTGGGAGCAGCAACTTGGTCATTAAGTGAAGCAGATGCTAAGTAAAGCTGCAACTGTGTTTTTTTTTATCTTACTTCAGTTTTCCTTTGCTTTACGGACCTGCAAAGATCATAAACGTGAGGATTGATTGCAGAGTGACGTTTTCATTACCGTCATAACTGAACAGCTGCTGTATGAGGCAGTCTGTAAGCAAGGACTACCTGTATTTGATTAGGCCTGTGCAAATCATTTCACAAGATGCTCTTTTATGAAGTCACAAAGCAGCTGTTCCAGGGGAAGTGTCTTCTGTAAATGCATGCTTGGAAATTTTGGGAGTTTTGAAGCAGCTGAATCTAGCAGATACAAAGACATGATTTGTCCATAAGCAAAATACCTCACTGAATGATTTGCACAGCCCTGGTCCTATACTTACATGAAAATCACTGTTCTGTCATAGCCAGTCTACATGGTTTCATTCTACATTTCTGTGGTAGTGTTCCAAATCTTGAAACATTCCTGACCCTCCAAGTAAAGCATGGTTAGTATATGAGGAGGACCTGTCTAATTGGTCCTATTCATCTCGTTTCAAATCTTTTCAGTATGACCACATTAATGAGATTTGAATTCTTGAGAAAGCCATTCCCAGGTACCATGTTAGTATAAAATGGAACATTCAGTCTCTTTAATTTGATGAGTCAAAAAATCTTCAAAGAGAAACTAGCAAGTCAGGGGAAGGGGTAGTGGAATCTTTCATCTCTAATTTTCTATGTAGATAGAATATTTGAATAAAATGTGTTCAACCCTCATCCCATTTATTATCTGAAATAATACAAGCTAGGCACTGTTTTATAACCAAAAGAATTGGGTTCTGATATTTGATTTCCAAATACCTATTTGATTTGATTTTTCTTTTCTAGTATTTTATCTACAGCTGCATCCTGGGCCTCATTTCTTGTTCTGTTTTCCTCCGGATAAATCATGAGCTGAAAATGGCAATCATGTTGGTTGCTCTGATTGTCTACAATGTAATTCTTTTACACACACATGGCTCTGTGCTAGATAACTACAGCAAGTTACTCTATACAATGGCACCTCTAAAAAGGTAGGCCACTAAATCAGAACCATTGTTTATGTCCTGGGGAGCTGGATGGCATGGGAGGCCAATTGCCTCCTCCATGTTTCTTCTCTCCTTGTAATGCTTAAGAGAAATGGCATGGGACCCAAATGACTGTTTTCTATGTCTCAAGGATCTCACCAACATGGTACATGAGATGAGAAGACAAGGAAGAAAAAAAATAGCCCATCTTTAAAGCTAGAGGGTGGGTAAAATCAATTCTATTTAATTTAGATAATTGATGGTAGCTTGGTAAGATTAGCATATTAGACAGGGTAGTATAAATTAGAAATCAAAAATAATATCCTTGTTTATTTAAGTCATTAGAAATACTCTTACGCTAGTATTTGTGTTCATAATCCATTTATGTGTGAGAAACTAATCATCTCCACAAGTGATGAACTACTTTTATTTTTATTCTACTACAGCCGACATTATATGCTTCCTGGTGTTCCATACTTTATTTTGACACATATAAATAATGACTTAATTGGCTCCATCACTTGAGGGAGTGTCACAGAGAAGAAGGGATTGACTTATTTGCCAAAGCAAATGGGTGGAAGCTTGTTAAAGAGATGATCCAATCTAGAAGTAAGGAAATTTTTTCTGACAGTGAGAATAGTTAGTCAATGGAATAGCTTGCATCCAAGAGTTGCGGGTGCTCCATCACTGGAGATTTTCAAAAATATAAGTTCTCCTGCCTTGAGCTGAGGGTTGGACTAGAAGATCTCCACAGTTCCTTCCAGCCCTATGATTCTGTTTTATAATAATGCAGAATGAAATTCTTATTGAATCACTGATTTTGGCAATCCTGAAATTGCTACAAGTTATTAGGTAATTATATTTTGTAACTTTTGCTGCTATGAAGGAGGGAGATTTTGTGATTTTTTAGCTATGGTTAACTTGACTGGACTGGAAATATATTTTTCCGCCAGATTTGCTTTTTTAAAAAATTTCTCATGAGAATATTTTTGCCACTTTCTGTTTATTTTATATAGTTTCTATATGGGGAAACATTCAGATACAAAATTGTATATACCAGTAAGCTGGCAATCTGAAATGTTACCATTCAGGGAAAACTGATTAGGTGCATAGAATGAAGTGGTCCTGAGTTTGTACCAGAATTTTTTGCACCGTGAATTTAAATGGGCATATTCAGAATCTGTAGACCGATTTTGGTTCCCTGTGATCAAAATACTTTATTTTTACAGGCCAGGGATCCTGAAAGATCTAAAAACAATGGGTTCTGTGTCTCTTTTTATCTTCTTCATCACACTGCTGGTACTCAGCAGACAGGTAAGTCTCTTTCTAGGATTTTCATTCTACTTTCAGTGCTCTGCATGCCCAAATTGTCTAGTACAGTGGTGGGCGTACCTATGGCATGCGTGCCAGAGGCGGCACTCAGAGACCTCTCTGTGGGCACGTGAGCCTCGCTCTTTGGCTAAGTTTTCACAGGAAAAAGCCATTTCTCAAGTCCCTTCTTAGCCAAAACAAGCCTCCGTAGCTCGCTCTTATTGAGAGCGATCCTGAAAAAACAAGGATGACAAAAGACAGCACAGTTAGTTCTGAAAATGAAATTCTTAAAGTGTGGAATTATTTGCCAAATAATTTTAAGTCAATGAAAGCACTTGGGATTGCTTTCCTTACTTTGTTTGGATCATCTTATGCTTGTGAGCAGCTGTTTTCAGCTTTGAATTATATCAAATCTGACACCAGAAACAGACTAACAGCTGACCTGAGTGCTGCATGTGTTGCTCTCAAACTTACAAAGTATGAGCCAAGGTTAGACAAATTATCAGCAAAAATCACATTAATTGTTCAAAAGCATGCCAAATGCAAACTTTTACCTTTCAATAAAAAGTTGTTTGTATCATTGAAAGCTTTGTTATTGGGTTTTTCTTTTAAGACAAAAGATGTTAATGTATGAGTTGTTTTTTCTAAACTAAAACCTCAACATTCAGGTTAAATTGCCGTGTTGGCACTTTGCGATAAATAAGTGGGTTTGGGGTTGCAGTTTGTGCACTCGGTCTCTAAAAGGTTTGCCATCACTGGTCTAGTATCTTGGTATTACCATTAACAGAGAACATGGGTGCAGCTTAGGTATTTTCAGGGATCCCAGCCTGGTCTACTTTAGTTTAGTAAAAGTGTTACCTAAAACCAAAGCCATGGTGGGTGATAGAAGTTGTGACTTGGAACATAGAAAGAATACACAGTAAAGTGCAATAGTTAATGAAAGATATGATGGAAATTAAATAGATGTGTAATTTTTGTGAAACTAAGAGAAAGGGGAAGTATGTAATACCTGATCTTATGGAGCTAAATTGAATAAATGCAGGGAAGGGAAGCTGTAGGTTTAATTATGAGTGAAAGGACATTATCTTAGAAAATATTTCCTGGTGTCATCTATGTTGCAAGTGTGCATGCAAGTAGGAATTCAAGTTTAATCGTGCTTCCATGCTATACTCTGATAATAAAAGTATCAGAAATTAGTTTTTCAAAAACGTGTGCAACATTCTGAATGAATGAAAGCTAAAAGAATACAGTTACTCTATTAAATGTAATGAACGGTTGGATAGCAACAAGATGAGGGAGCACAGTAGAATTATTGGGCCATTCAGAGACTCACAAATTAATAAGATGTGATTGATGAATATCAGTTTTTAAAAAAGGTCTGCCTCTTTCAAATACATGATTTACATTTAAGTCTATTCATGCATACAGAGGGCAAAAGAAGGGACTGTGGGTTTCTTGGTGTTCTCTGAGCTTGGTTGTTTTCTTGCAGATGTTTCATCACCAAACTAGCTAACATCATCATTGCTAAAGAAAGTGGGATATGCTTTCATTTGATTACACTGTTGTTTAATGTTAGCTTGTTTGTCTGAGCTGGTAGTTCCTTGATTAGGGTATTGTTTACTTCTTGATTGTGATATATGATTTGTCTGAGTGGCATACTTCTAGGAATTCTCTAGCATTTTTTCACAGTTACTGTGTTGAAACTATGGTTAAGTTAAGTCCATCTATTTTGAAATTAATAAGTATTTAAAGTATATTAAATTAAATTCTCAGACAAACCAGCCATCAACAGGCCTGTAAAGATAAACAACATCTACATACCATTCAAAAGAGATAATTAAAATGCCAGAAAAGGAAACAAAAAGATCAAAGCATCCACTCCCCAGCAATCAATACCCAAACGAGTAGAGAATAACATCAAGATTAACGCTAGACTAACAATCAAGAAGTAATCAAACAAATAAAAAATAATCTGTATAAAGTGTGTATATTGGATGGGAGCGAGAGTATGGTATGTTACTTCAGGAGAAATGTTAGGTGTGGCCAATTAGGAGAACTATGTTAGATCCAGTGGGGATATGTGCATAGTAAACCAAAAAAAAGAGGTGATTAGGAATGAATAGATTGATAAGTGAATATAGATTAAAAATAATTAAAAGAAATTATATTGAAAGAAACAACCATTTTGAAAGAAGAAGATTTCATTGATTTGGTTATATAGCGAGAAAGAGTGAGGATCAAATCAGCAAATAGATACATGAAAGAAAAAAATCATAGGTTGAAAATCATACTTAGAAAGCTGTGGTTGGATGGAGTTCATGAGATCCTCAAATAGAGCAAAGAGAGAAATATGAAGAATAAAAGGCAACGCATAAATTGGTTTATGGACTGGGTGGAAAAAAGTATGGGTTGTTTTACAGATGGAGATGGCCTCAAAAAGGATATTGGACAACTGTTAGATAAACTATAGCTTAGCCCTGAAAGGAATTGACTTTGGTTGTTGGAAGCTGGCATGAAGTTGCAAAGATGTCTCCCTTAACAATTCACAATCTTTGTTTAACAATGGCAACAGGGACTGCAGGGATTGCTGTTGCTAAATTATATGGACATGTGACATTGTAATCCACATTAGCAGCAGAAATTCTGGTCTCAATTGCCATCATAACACGAGGAATACCTGTATTGATTGTACAACTAAACAATCAGGTAGTCCAAATTTCAATTTTCATTGCAGTTATTCCATTCCATAATTGTATAACTAAACAAAGATTTTCCCCCCATAGCATTCTAACACTGATTTGAAACTGAAACTACCAGGGCTGTGCACTTTCCTGTTTCTTAAAAATGTCCTGTTTATTGCAGTAATTTAGATAAATTGGTTTTCTATTTTTAGTAATTCCATTAGGTGCTGTTTTATAAACATCTAGTAAGGATTGGAAGAGAAGGTGTCTGTTTTCCTCAGTAATTTATCCTAAAGTAACAATGAGGCACTAAGATATTGCAATGTTCATTTTTATGATAGATGCAGAATTGAGAAAAAAAATCTCCTTGATATATTTTGTATTATTAAAGCCTATTCTGAAACTTTATTGTACATGACCTAGGTGTTCAAGATGGCCCTATTTGTAACCGTTCATAAGTCATAACTATAGTTAGCACCTGAACCCGAGGAGAACCTGCTTTCTTTAACCGATGAGACTAAAGATGCACCTATTCCAGAATTATATTTCTAGATGAAGAAATCATCATCATCATCATCACCTCAACAACAATAGTATAGAAAGGATATGATCAGATGGCCCAGTTCTGCAGAATTTTGAAATCATTTATTCATTTTGATCCGTAGTCCAAATCTGCCTTGCAAAATACAATATTCTTTATCTTGTGAAAAGAGGCTACGGATGCCCTACATCACTCTCAAGATGGTTGAATATTTCATTTCAGTTTCTCTTGGTGATGTATTTGAGCTTGCTTTCTTGATGGAAGTAGTATATAAGATGTAACCGTTGGCATTGCTGTTATTAGACATTTTTTATCCTGTAAGACTGCCCAAACTCTCAGTTTAAAAAGCATGATGGGCTTAGTTCCTTGGAATTTAATTGAATTATAGGGAACCAGGGACTGGAGAAATTATTAAACATGAAAGACAGGCCATCTTCACACACACACACACACACACGCGCGCGCGCACACACACACACAGTGATCACTTTACAACTATAAAGAACACCTAAGAAATGTACTGACATTCATACTTTAAAAAAAACTTCAAGAGCAAATTTTCTTTCATCAAATGGAAATGAGAACTGATAGAAAAAATGTAGGGGAATTATATATTGTGGTTAGAATGTAAGATTTGCTAGTCTTGTATCTATTTTCAATCAACTTTACTAATATAAAGAAATAAATTTATATTAATAATAAATGTTAAATAAAGTTAATAAATAAATATTTAAATAAATATTAAATAATAGAAGAAATAAATTTTAATAATATTTTGAGCTCTTTTTTCTGAATACCATTCATATGATTTATATTGTATATTTCTTGTACAGTTCTGAATTTTGTGCATGTCTTTCTAAGGTCACTGTTGTTTTCATTGTATTTTCTTTCAGAACTATCCTTTTTGCTATAGCTGCTTAGAACTGTGACAGATTTATGGCTTTGTTCTGTTCTACTGTAGTACAAAACTAAGGAAAACCTTACTTGGCCAGCAGGAAGTAGCAAAAGACTATTGAGCTGTTGAATTCGATCAAGATATTGTTCTCCTGTAGCCTATTCAATTATTGTTCTTAGGGTGTACTACCTAATTGAAAGTCTTTTTATCACTTCGGAAAATTGAATACTGCAAAGAAATATCTTATTAAGCTTTAAGTGGCCTCTTACTTCTTTCTCAAAGACAGAGACTAAGCAAATGGAGTGTTTTAATTTGCAATCTTGGTATTAATTAGTAGATAGAGACTATGATTCTCTCCCATTCCTTCTAGGTTTGACCTGACTGCTATATTGCATTGAGCTTTAGTATTTAATATGGTTTGTGGACAGTTACAAGCAGTCCTTACTTACTGAATCCCTCATTCAGCAACTGTTCCAAGTTACAATGGTGCTGAAAATTTTTTTTTATGACCAATGCCTGCCTTTATAATGTTTGTAGCATCCCTTAGTCACATGATTGCTATTAGTGTCAGTAGGGGTGTCCCATACCTGATCTGTTGTTTTTCTTCTTTTTTTCCCCCTTGCAAGTGGAAAGATTAGAGAGGAAAGAATTACAAGAGAATAAATGCAAACACAATGAGAATACACATTGAAAGGAGTGTGGTGATGCCTGAGCAAATAGCACAGTATATTCCTCCATTTCTCTCCAATGTGTCCACTCTGTAAAGGGAGGGGGGAAACAGGTCAGACAAAGTGGAAATTGTCTATAGAAATCACTCCCCCCCCTTGCTTGTTTAAGCAATCTCTCTGGTCTACAAGAAGCAAGCAATTTTTGTAGGCAATCTCTC